AAAAAAAAAAAAAAAAAAAAAAAAGACCTTCCTGCTCAGGCTTCAGCTTCCCACCCGTGCAGTGGGTATGTTCTAGAGAACGCAGCCTGCTCCCAACACAGCCCAGGTCCTGGCTTAGGAAGTCCCTCCTGTGCCCGCAGGGAGGAGATGAAATGGCGGCAGTGGGCAGACGACTGGCTGGTGCACCTGATCTCCCCCAATGTGTACCGCACACCCACCGAGGCTCTGGCATCCTTTGACTACATTGTCCGCGAGGGCAAGTTCGGAGCCGTGGAGGGTGCCGTGGCCAAGTACATGGGTGCAGCGGCCATGTACCTCATCAGCAAGCGACTCAAGAGCAGGCAAGTGTGTGTGCACATCCGGGGCCTGCTGTCCCTGAGCCTCCGGTGCCACGAGCAGTGGTGATCCCTTCACACCCCTCAGGAGACCAGCGGGAGGCTGAGGCCTGGGCAGGTGGGAAAGCGTTATGGATTACGGGTCCCTTGGCCAACCTGGGACTTGGACCCAGAGCTCCTGCTCACCTCCCCGGGGGCAGCAGGGCCGGCCTTGAAGCCGGAAGCCTGGGGCCTGACTGGCACCTTCTCTGTGGCTTTCTCCCTGGCCTGGTCTCTTGCCCTTGCCACAGCCTCCCCATCTGGGACAGATGCTCCCTGAGGCATCTGCAGATGTGATGCTGTCACCTGGGGTGTTGCCCTGGCTTCCACGCCTCCCCCCTGCTCCCCAGAGGAGACCCCTCTTCCCTGCTGGGCTGGGAGTGGGGGCTCTCCTGAGGGGCTTTTCCCTTCCCCGCCCAGGCACCGCCTCCAGGACAACGTGCGCGAGGACCTCTACGAGGCTGCCGACAAGTGGGTGGCTGCTGTGGGCAAGGACCGGCCCTTCATGGGGGGCCAGAAGCCGAATCTCGCCGATTTGGTGAGTGTGGTGGTGGCAGGTGGTGCCTGGACCAAGGGTTCTGTCCTCAGAGTGGGGGAGGTTCGTAAGGGAAAGCCCGGGCAGTGCCTGCATCTTGCCAGAGGAGCCTGCCTGTCTCTGCCATCACAGACAGAAACTCGCCTCAAAGGGGCTCCAGGAGAGAAACCGATGACCAGGAACCGCCTTGGTTCACATAACTGACAAGTTCAGGGAAAGGGTTGGCTTCAGGCCCTGCTGGATCCAGAGGCCCGGGTGGTGGTAACAGGGCCCGGGCTCTACCTGTCGCCGTCAACACGGCCCTCCCTGGCGTGGGCTTCGGCCCCAGGCGGGCTGGGTCCGGTGCTCCAGGCTTCTCCCAGCAAAACCCAGTGAGATGGCATCTCACTGGCCTGGCTTCGCTGCCCTTTTTCCTTTTTTTTTTTTTTTGAGACCAAGTCTCATGCTGTCACCCAGGATGGAGCACAGTGGTGCAATCTCAGCTCACTGCAACCTCCACCTCCCAGGTTCAAGCAATTCTCCTGCCTCAGCCTCCCGAGTAGCTGGGATTACAGGCCTGTGCCACCATGCCTGGCTAATTTTTGCATTTTTAGTAGAGACAGGGTTTCAATATGTTGCCCAGGCTGGTCTCGAACTCCGACCTCAGGTGATCCACCCACTTCGACCTCCCAAAGTGCTGGGACTACAGGCGTGAGCCACCGTGCCTGGCCCACTGCTCATTTTTAAAACTGTCCTGCCCCTCGGTGACCTGGGTCTTGAAACTGGGTGGTGGGGTCTCTTCTCCCCAGTCTCAGGACCTGAGAAGAGGGGAGGGCATTTATCCCAAGGAAACTTGCTGGTGGGGATCTGTGGCCCAGAAAAGGGAGTACAGGCGTGAAGCAGGCGAGACCTGCAGCCACCCCACACGCTTTGTTCAAACCCTCACCTGTGCTCTTGGCCCTTGAGTAGGTCACGAGCTCCAAGCGGGGAGGGGATGGGACCTGGGCACACAGCTGACAGGGAGTGAAGGAGGCCTGGATGCCTGTCAAACCAGCCTTTCTGTTTCATGCCCCAGGCAGTGTATGGCGTGCTGCGCGTGATGGAGGGGTTGGATGCCTTCGATGACCTGATGCAGCACACGCATATCCAGCCCTGGTACCTGCGGGTGGAGAGGGCCATCACCGAGGCCTCCCCAGCGCACTGAATGTCCCCGCCCAGAACCGGGGAAAGGCAGCGGAAGACGCCAGCTGCCAGGGCCTGGGGTCCCTGGGCCAGTGCCTGGCGATGCTGGCGGGGGCAGCATCATTCTGCCCCTTGTCTACCCACCCCCACCAGCCCTCTTGCTTCTAACACAGGGCACCTGCTGGGGCCCAGGGATGCTAGGGACAAGTTCCAGCCCTGCGCCTGCCCTGGGGCGACCCCTCCGTGTCCCTGCCTCCCTGCTCTGCCGCCCCTCTCCCAGACCTCAGTGGCTGTCCCGTGGCTACATCCTATGGGTGGGGGGCCATCGACAGGACAGCAGGACGGTTCGTTCTCGGTGGAATCCCATCCCTGGGTTCCCCTAGTTCCCACTCTTCCCAAGCCTCCCAGGATGGGGACATGTTTGCAATAAAGGAAAGGTTTGTGGCGCCTGTCGCGGCAGGCATCTCATGGAGCCCTGCGTGACTGAGTGCCGCGTGGGGCTGGCGGTCAAGGGAGGCATCAGGCTTGGGCTGTGCCAGCCCTGGTGGTAACTAACCACCAGCCTGGTGCTTCCCAGGTGGCAGGCATGGTATGGCTCCGCAGACTTTGTATGCCATGGTCCCCAGGATACCACTCAGGGCACACAGCCGGGCCATGGAGCCCAGCAGCCAGCATGCAGGTCGGGGCCTGCCTACCCACGGTGGGACTCTGTGGTGGGGTCCCTCTTCAAGCCTCAGTTTCTTCGTCTGTCCCTGCCTTGTGGGGGAGTTCAGTGATAGGAGCAGGTCCAGTGCACAGAGCAGGGGCACCCGGTCCAGGGCACCAGGCTGTTCAGACCCCTGCTCTACAGACAGGACCAAGCCCTCTCAGGTGGCTGCCCCGGGCTTCAGCGCCAGGCTGGGCCAGCCTTTATGGGAATAGAGACTCTGCCTTCCAGGGTGAGTGTGGGTTGCGGGTGGGACCCCCTTTCCTGCACAGAGCACCCAGGATGGGGCTCCCCAGTTCCCTTAACTGAGGTGGGCTGGCCTGCCAGGGGCCCTCCAGAGGCCAGTGAGCCCAACTCCACCCACTGGGTCCTTCCGACTGGGGGGACTGGACAGCGTCCTCATACCCTCTTGAGAAACTTTTGTTTTTTGAGACAGGGTCTCGCTTTGTCACCCAGGCTGGGATGCAGTGGTGCAGTCATAGCTCACTGCAACCTCGACCTCCCAGGTTCAAGTGATCCTCCCACCTCAGCCTCCAAGTAACTGGAACCACAGGTGCGCACCAACATGCCCAGCTAATTTTTTGTTTGTTTGTTTTTTGTTTGTTTTTTGTTTTTTGTTTTGAGACGGAGTCTCGTTCTGTCCCCAGGCTGGAGTGCAGTGGCCGATCTCGGCTCATTGCAAGCTCCGCCTCCCAGGTTCACGCCATTCTCCTGCCTCAGCCTCCTGAGTAGCTGGGACTACAGGCGCCCGCCACCACGCCCGGCTAATTTTTTGTATTTTTAGTAGAGACGGGGTTTCACCGTGGTCTCGATCTCCTGACCTTGTGATCCGCCCACCTCGGCCTCCCAAAGTGCTAGGATTACAGGCGTGAGCCACCGCGCCCGGCTAATTTTTTGTATTTTTAGTAGAGACGGGGTTTCACCGTGGTCTCGATCTCCTGACCTTGTGATCCGCCCACCTCGGCCTCCCAAAGTGCTGGGATTACAGGCGTGAGCCACCGCGCCCGGCCATGCCCAGCTAATTTTTTATATTTTGTAGATCCTGGGTTTTGCCGTGTTACCCAGGCTGGCCTTGCACTCTAGGGCTCAAGGGAACTGCCCACCTCAGCCTCCCGAAGTGCTGGGATTACAGGTGTGAGCCCCCATGCCCAGCCAGGAAGCTTTTTAAGTTTTGTTTTCTTTATTAGTATTTTAAAAACAAAATAACTCAAGTTTCCTGTAAAAGCGAACATTTGAGTAAGGTAGAAGTGAGCGCTCAAGGCAGCCAGTGTGACATTTGGAAGCAGGTGGCTGTGCGGCTGGTGACCTCGGTTTTTCCCACGGGGCTGGTCTGCCACCGGCTCTGTTCTCGTCCCCATCCTGGGCGTCTCCCTGTCAATGTATGTCACATTGGCTTGTTCTCATGGCTGCATAGTGCCCTGCCACCTGGCTGCACCACAGTCCATCAGCCAGCCCCCACTGTGTGCTCTCTGTGAGTGTTAACTCCAGGTACTTGGGCTGCAGGGGAGAGGAGGCAGCCAGGCCTGAGGTTGTGCCCATCTGTGGCCTTAGTCACAGCAGCCGCCTCTGAGAGGCCAGCAGGTGTCAGGGCACCCAGAGCCACCACTGTGTCCAGAACAGCATTTCCACGTCATTGGCCAGGCCTAAAGTCCTGAGGGGCCTTTGCTCCAGGGACCCAGGGTGTCTCCCTCAGCAGGGCAGGAACTAGGCCAGGAACACCATGGGGCACTGAGGGAGGACCCTCCCTCTATCCCTGCACCCCTCCATCCCTGCACTCCTCCATCCCTACACCCCTCCATCCCTGAACCCCTCCATCCTTCCATCCCTGCATCCCTCCATCGCTGCACCCCTCCATTTCTCCATCTCCACACCCTTCCTTTGCTGTACCCCTCCATCCTCCATCCCTGCACCCCTCCATCCCCCATCCCTGTACCCTTACATCCTCCATCCCTCCATCCCTGCATTCCTCCATCGCACATCCCTCCATGCCTCCGTTCTCTGCATCCCTCCACTGCAGTATCCCTGCACCTCTTCATCCCTCCATTCCTGCATCCCTCTATTTTTCCATCCCTCCATTCCTGTATCCCTGTACCCTCCATCCTCCATCCCAGATCCCTCCATCCCTGCTCCCCACTCTCACTTCCCTTCCCTTCCCTTCACACACAGGCTTTTCCTGCCATCCTCACACCCCGCCCAGGGTTACCTGACACCTTCCAGCTGCACACGGAGGCTGACTCACCTCTCTCTTTCTCAGTCCCAAAGTCCCGAAAGAGAGCATCTGATGTGGCCAGCTTGTGACAAGGCATCTACCTTCTGTCCATGACATGGAGGCCGGGGGAGGATCTCACTGCTGAGGACCCCACCGTGTGCTCCCAGACCTTTTGAATGTTCCTCCTGCTCAGCCCAGTGACTGCGGGCTGTGGCTCCTCCCTTCAGCCTCCCCTCGAGGTCCTGGTGTTACTTAGGAGGCCCCGGATGTAGATCCGGCCCCAGCCACCAGGCATTGCCCCTTTTCCTGGCTCCACACACTCAGGAATAAAGTTTCCTTCTGCTTCCCCTCTTGCAGAAGGAGATCTGGTTGGCAGCTAAACCGCGCTGGGAACAGGGGCCTGAGTCCTGGACCAGGGCTGTTTCCCCGGGGCTGCTGCAGTTGGGGAGGAGCCTACAGCCTCCTCCCCCGAGTGCTCACCTTGATGAAAGGGTCCAGGACTGTGCTAACCAGACCTGACAGGCTGGAGAATGGCCAGTCAGCCTGAGGCCACCGCGGGACACCACTTAGGCCCAGCTTCTCCCCGCGAGTATCTCTCTCCCTAGAGGTAACAACTCTGCCTCAGTTTCCCCAATGTTTCTCTGTCACACCTCTTGGCGTGTTTTCCCATAGCCACCAGAGGGCGCCAGAGCCCGCCAAGCCGCGTAGGAGATGGAAACAAGGCCTGCTGCTGCCACCTCGCGGCCAATTCCAGGAATGAATCTCGGCACCCTCATTACCCAGCGACTCTGCCCATCTGTATAAAAATGGGCTTAGCTGTAACGGTCCGAAGATGAGTGGCTAGGAAGAAACATGCCTCTTGAGGCTGGGGACAGTGGCTCATCCCTGTAAGCCCGGCACTTCAGGAGGCTGAGGTGGGAGGGTCACCTGAGCCCAGGAGATTGAGGCTGCAGTGAGGTATGACTGCCCCACTGCACTTCAGCCTGAGAAACAAAGTGAGACCCTCTCAAAAAAAAAAAAAAAAAAAAGAGA